ATCACGTCTCATAGTGGGGCTGGCCATGTGGTCCTCTCTGTGGACTGGCTGCTCTATTTGGGGTCATCGTCCTCAAGGCCTGGTGGGCCAGGATGTGCTCCAGTCTGTCCTCCCGGTCCTTGATTTCTAAAGTGAAATCACTAAGTACCTTACCTCCAGTAATCACAAGATGGATCAGCTGTGTAGGTGAGAGAGCTGCTAAAATTTGGCTAAGAATTCGCAATAAGTGAGAGTTGCCATAAAGCCTGTTGTTTGAGCCCTAGAAGTTCCTACGGAGATCTTGCCAGCAGAGATGCTTGGGCTTTGCATTGACTCATGCAGTCTTGGAAGAAGCAGGGTTTCAGAAAATTAATGGATATGTTTGCTGAGTGAACCATGAAACCCAAGTTGCCCTTCAGGAAGGACAAGAACTTGAATGACTGATAGCAGCTGTTCGAAAGGCCAAGATTAGTGAACCCTAAAGGTTATACTACTCAGTCCACCCCAGTGTGCAGTCAGAGATTGGCAAAGCCCATTTTAAAGGGCCAACTATTTGATGTGTTAGATGTGTGGACCGCAGAGGCTTTGTAACTGCGCAACGCTGCCTTCGTAGCGCACGAGACTGAGCGAACGAGTCGGCGCGGCTGTGTCTTCACCAAAGCGTGCCCCGGGTCAGGCTTGCCCGGTGGGCCGTAGTCTGCCAGCCTACGAGGCGGACGCTTCCCTGCTGAAGATGTTTGTTTTGAATAAGAAGTCTATTGTGTCAACTTCCTTTTAAGGAGCTTGTGTTCGTGAATGAGAAATTGGAGGGGCACAATTGGTGTTCACTTGGGGCCATTTTGAAAAGAACGTATATCGAAGCAACTCTGTCAAGAGCAGGGCTGGGAGCACAAAGACCTGGCTTTACGACACACGGCCTGTTGAGCAAGTGTCTGAAGACCAGCTGAGGGCCTACTTGTCCTAACCGTGACTCCTGCTTCCAGGAAGACAGAGCCAAGGACTTTAACTGAACATGCTCTCATCAACTTCACCCTTCTCTCCTTCCTTCCTTCCTTCCTTCCATCCAGGCCCTGGATTACTGTCACAGCATGGGAATTATGCACAGAGACGTGAAGCCCCACAATGTCATGATTGATCATGAACACAGAAAGGTAAAATGCTACATCATTGATCTGCACAATGCAGCTAACAGCCCATCTTCAACACTTGATTTCTTGAACCCGTCACAGTTTTATTAGGTACCTGGGAAACATTTGATGAATGAGTGAAATAATTAACCACTAAGCCTATTTAAAATAGTATTCATAGTTCTGAGAATAGTATAGTTCAGAAAACTATTGTCTTGGGTCTTATTGAATAAGACTGTTTTTGGGGGGTTTATGAATCACATTTTTAATGACTAAGGAAGGTGTCACTAGAAAGGAGTAGTGCAAATTCCATCTGTGTGCTGTATCCTCTGGTGGGGAGTTAGTCTATCTGCACATGTGGTAAAGTTGTGTAGCACACACGAGTGCATGGCAAAGTGCTCCTTTCTGGTTTTGTGCTGTCGTGTATTATGTAAGCTTGGGAACTGTGAAGGGTACACTGGACCTCTCTGGGTTGCCAGCTTCTTTTGAGTCTTGAGACTCATTCAAAACTAAAAGGCTTTCTGGATGCTGTATAGAGTAGAATGGAAGGCAGTAAAACCTAGGAGAGCGGTGAGGGGAATAGGCTATTGGAAAACTCAGATATGAGATGGTAGTCACCTGCAGCCAGGCAGTGACAGAGGAGGTGCTGGTCACAGTCAGCGTATGGTAGCACTAACAGCACTGGTGACAGATTAGGAGTGAAGTGTGAAAGGGCACATCTGAAGTGTCTCACCTGAGTCAAGGGATCGGTGGAGTTGCTATTGTTGAGAAAGGGGAGCAGGAATGGGGCTGGAGTGAGTGCGATTTGCAGGGAATAATCAGTGCTTTAGTTTTGTTTGTTACAGTGTAATAAAATATATACCCAAACCCCCTGCCATCAGTCACTTCCGACTCGGTGCCCTTGACAGCGATTTTGAGGCTGTAACTCTTTGCCAAAGCAAAGCCTCTTTCTCCTGAGAAGCAGGTGATGTGGACTCATGCAGTACTTGTCCTCTTATATCTCACCTTCACTGAGCATCCTGTTGCCCAGGCTTAGCATTATTGACTTCATTTCTCTTTGTGGCTGAATAACATCCTGCATAAATATACTGTACTGTATTCGTCCCCTTTTCTACAGCTTTTGTGAATGATAGGGGTTGCGATCCACACGGCCAGCAGTTCGAAACCAAGAGCTCCGAGGGAGAAAGACTGAGCTTTCTACTCCTGTAAACAGTTACAGTCTCAGAAGCCCAGGGCGGGTCGCTGTGAGTTAGCATTGACAGTGATGAGTGAGTTAAATACTTAAGGGAACCATAGTGGAGTACAATCGGATAGGAGCCCTGGTAGGAATCACAATGAGATGCAATGGTTATAGCCAGAGGAACAGAAGTCGTCAGCTGGGAGTGCTTTTGCTTGCTATCCCTTTGTGTATTAAACAAAGAAGACACTGTGCCTCGGAGGCTCTGTCCGTGCAGGGCAGTCAGGCCTTATTCCCACGTCAGTGTCCCTACTGTTTTGCACAGTGACTACATAAGGTTGCCTCTTGTCCCCATTCTTTCTGTTTTCAGTGCACATTTTTGGTTGTTAAAAAAAAAATCTGTTTTGTGTATCTTAATTACCTTAATAAGCATTTATTGATTTTTTTTTCCTTCCCTGTATACGTGACATTATGTTGGATTTTAAAAATTACAAAGGGGAATACAGAAAGCATCTTGGGTGTGTACAGGCCATCCAGGCCTATGGGAAAGTTCATTCTTGGGTCTGAATTGAACTTGTAACTAAGTTGAAACACAGTTGTATATCAAATGTCAATTAATCCAGTGTTTGTCTTTATAGTTTATCTTTGTACGCATTAAAAAAAATAAGGACTTCCAGATACACTAAGACACCTTTAACACATGATGCAATGATGTTTTAATTTGTGCCCGTTTGTGGACCAATGTTTGTACCATGAAATTTCAACAAAATAGGCTTTCTGGAGTTGTTCATCATTCTGGCTGTGTGTAAATTGGACAGTGTATTAGTCTGGGTACTTTGGAGAAACAAATCCAC